AATAGTTTGATTTCTGCTTACTGTCGTTTTGTGGGAATAAATGAAGCTTATTTGATTATCAGTAGAATGCGAGAAGCAGGAGTAAAACCAGACATTGTTACTTACAATTCTTTGATTGCCGGAGCAACTAGGCACCACTTATTGAGCCGCTCGGTTGATTTGTTTGATGAAATGTTACAAATTGGAATTCATCCTGATGTTTGGACCTATAATATTTTGATAAATTGTTTGTTTAAGTGTGGACATCCTCATGATGCCTACAGGTTTTACGCTGATATGATTTCCAAGAACATTTCACCATGTTCTGTTACATATAACACCCTAATTGATGGGTTATTCAAAACTGGATATGCAGATAACGCTCTTGTGATGTTCCGTGATCTTGAAAGATCAGGCTTTTCTGCAGAGCTAGTCACATATAATTCTTTACTTGATGGTCTGTGTAAATGTCGCAAGTTGGATGATGTCCGGAAGATTAGCAAAGAACTTGAAGATTCAGGTCATAAACCGAATGCCATTACATATACAACAATCATGAAGTGTTTCTTTAGGTCTGGAAATTTTGAACAAGGTTTTCAAGTATTTTCTGAGATGAAGAAGAAAGGTTATACTGCAGATATTTTTGCATACTGTACTGTAATTAGTGTGTTGGCTAAGAATGGAAAGAAGGAAGCGGCTTATACTTGTATAGAACAGATGCTTAGGAACTGTATCGGACTTGATATAGCATGCTACAATACAATAATTTATTTGCTTCTCAAGGAAGGGGAACTAAACACTGCAATTCAATTACTAAGAGAAATAGAAGAAAGTGGGCTTCATAGTGATGAATACACTCACTGTATTCTGGTTGACGGCTTGTCGAAAATGGGTCATGATGATGATGCTATAAATTATTTGCATACCCTGCAGAGAAGAGGTCCCCAAGTAGACTTAGTGGGATATAATTGTTTGATCCACAGATTATGCAATGCAGGAAAGATTGATTCTGCAATGGGCTTATTCAACGAGATGGAGATAAAAGATTCATTTACATATACTTCATTGTTGTACTACCTTTGCAATGAAAACAGATTCGGCACTGCATTCAAAGTTTTGATGTCTTGTTTAGGGGATGGAATAAATGTGCTGCGTTCGATCAAGAGAGCAGTTCTCCATGGTCTTATAACTTCGGGATTAAGAAAGGAAACTAAAGAGCTTAGAAAGGCAATTCGGAAATCTCGAGCATTGTGGCACATCGGTGTCGGCGTTAAGGCACAAAGAAATGGACATTCGTGAGTTATATTTACTGACCTTTGATTTTTGATATCATTACTGACAATCAAAATTTTGCACGGCTTCATCATCTTCTAGTTTTTCCTATAAATAGTGTTATTAGTGTAAGAGAGAGTTTGAGTTGTGTTTCTCATTCAGGTCTTTTAGTCTATTAGATGGGGTTAGGACTTAAGAGAGTACATGTATATTCATTGATTTCATTCCTTACTGTTATAGGAGTGTTAACTGTGTAAGTAAACTATATTTTTTCTGTTCGGTTGCCAATAATTTGCAATTTGTATTACTTATCTTACGTCTGTTGTTGATTCTTTGGTTCTGAGTACTTTAATTAAATTTAATATGAAACGGATCTCATTCAGGTTTTTTGTGAAAATGAAATTGAACATAAACGGTCAAGAATAAAGACTGAAATTTTTCAAAGGATCTTATTTCCTTTTTCTCACCTGAAACTGTCTCTAAATTTTGTTTCTTTCATTCTTCAACCACTGAAATCGAGAATTCGAGGTGTTGTGACTTGTGAGCAAGGGAGAGGTTTGATTTGCTAACCGAACAAATAGTTTGTTGAATTCAAAATCGAACAAATATCACGAATTCAAAATATTCCGACGTTCTAACACACATAATTTCTGCTTGGGAAGTATAAGGAACCAATACCAATGTCTGATCATCTGAACACTTCAACAGGGAATATCCATCAACTACTGTTTATATTTTTTTTCTTTACATTTTGTAACAGCGTTCTCCGTCGAGGAATGCTGTCTGGGAGAATTGGGAGGAAAATTCCCTATGGCTGGTTGGAGGTAGAGAAAAGAGATCTCCCAGAGGAGCCAGTAGTTAGGAATTACAACTAACTCTTCTCTATTTAAACTAATAATTAAACACGATTACAACCAACTAGGGATGGACGTGGGTGGAGTCAAACTCGAATATATAGATATTTTTCGATGAAACTCGATATAAATGACTCGAATCCGAACCAAACCCGACTCTCTTGAAATCCGAAGAAATTTATTAAAAAAATCTTAAAATATAAATAAAATTTTTATTTTAAATAAAATATTTTATAAAAATTTAATATACATATTTAATAAATTTCCTCTATTCTTTTAAAATCTAAAATCTAATATTATTATCATTTTTTTCTTCTCTTCCATTTTCATTTTTTCTTTTCTTACCGTCTCTTCCATCATCGAATCCATCTTCACATTTGAATATTTGACTAAAAATTATTTTTATATTTTATCTTATTTAAATTTTTTTGATCAGACTATTTAAATAACAAAGTTTTTACTGTAAAAAATTATTAAACCTAAACCCGACATTCAAATCGGATTCGTGTTTTATAATTTTAGATGTTCCCGAGGTTCGGATCAGGATAAACCTGAGTCAAACCCGACCTATGTCGATTCCTACAACCAGCTCACTACTGTAACCGTCACCACTACCATACGTGCTCTGTACTCACTAGCTAATTATAAACGAAATCATAATGCTGAGTTTAACGGCGGATTTGGGGGACGACCCGAATCTGGCTCAATGGGTGCGTCAATTAGATTGACTTCCTCTACATCCTATTCCTAAGTCAACAGATCCAATTTCAGTTGTTGACCAACCGCAATGGTGTCAATAGGCACTGTTACACATTTTCCCGTAAATTCCGTTTGGTTGCTATTATTTTTCTATTGCAAAATTTACCAGCTTTCCAAAAGAAATTATAATGTAGGACTGAGAAGTGAGAATTTGATCATTTGAGGAGGTAAAAATAAAAATAACACAAAATTGGGTATAAAAATTTAAAACTGTCGCTTCTGTTCGTACAGTTTAAGAAACACGAGCGATCGATGGCGGGAGAAGAAGATGCAAAACTTCAAACCCTAATTCTTCACAAGATAGGAGACGTTTCATCGTCAGTTGAGTCTGCAAATTGCGTCGATGATGTTATCTGCGCACTTTATTCCCTTGCTGTTCGACTCTTTCCAGTCGATTCTTCCCTACTATCTGGTTACTACCTACTATTTCCTTTTCTTTGCTTCCGTTGTTTTTTCATCTGAAGGATCTTTTTTTAATTCAAATTGTGTGATTTTGATTCTCACAGGTGCAATCCACCAGAGCTACACTACACAGGTACTGCTTGCTTTTTTACAGTTCGCTTTCCAAAGTCAATATTATGTTTTGATTATTTTTAACTAATTATAAACTAGGAAACAAATATTTTCTTCTTTTCTGGATAATCAGCTTCTTCTTCTTCTTTAAAAGAGAGAGATTTTTTATGTGATTTCTTATCATATTAAGTTCCAACTGATTTTATTTAAATAATAGTTCCATGGCATCGGTTGCTGGGTTTTTGTTTAAATAGCAGATATTGAATACTCAGCTTTATACTGATGCCGAGAGAGACAGATGGAGGTGTTCTTTCTACCGTGGAGTAGCTTTTCCAGCAATGGCAAATATTTTAATATACAGTAAGATTGAGATATGTGTTCTTGATTTTTCATTTGCTTTAATAATTTATCCAATCGAAAATAGTTTGTTTAATGTCGTGCTTATAGCTTAATATGTGTAGGCGACTCAATGTGTCTGTGTGTTTATTGTTGCCTATAAAATCTATTAGGATAAGCAATACTATGATATTATCTAACCAACGGAAGTACAGAACAACATGCAATGAAACTGAAGGTCGATCAATCAACTAAAATATTGATGAGAAGCAAATGTGTAATGAACAACTAAAACTCTCATATACATGCTACTCAATAAAAAGAAGTAAATATTGATTTTGAAATAACAAATTACTTGATTAAATGTTAATCCCAGGTAAATTTTACATTTTTACTATGAACAAACCATACTATCTATTAGTTTCAGGCTTTCAGCACATTCTGAATTTAAAAAAAGTCTGTGTATACAACAAACTAAATATTCAAATTACCAGTAATCTCTAGGTTGCAAAGGAATTGGGCTATAATTGGTGGGTGTATTCTTTGTGGCAACGGGTGAGGCACTATCACTATTCGAAAACTCTGATCATACGTTTTTTGCTTGTGTGTTCTTCAAAGGCATCTGGATTCTGGAAAGTGATCCATTGTAGACTTGGAGGGGATGGTTCATTGGACTCTACAGTTCACGGACTCTAATACATCCTTCATATTCTAGCAGAATGAAACCAGAGTTCTTACTGAGGCATCTGGATTCTGGAAAGTGATCCATCGTAGACTTGGAGGGAGGGGGTGGTTCATTGGACTCTACAGTTCACGGACTCTAATACATAGGAAAGAAGAGGGCATGGGGCAGGAGTCTATGCACATGGAGGGCCTGCAGAGTTTATTAAAGTCACAAATCAAGCTGAGCTGCTGGAGGTCCCGTCCACAGGGGGAGAATATACATGGAATAATAAGCAAGCAGGGAACAAATTTGTCCAATCCAGACTGGATAGAGCCTTTTCCAATCCAGAGTGGATTAACTTATTCCCAGAGGTGAGTGTAGAATTTTGGAATGGATCCTGTAGCGACCATGTGGCTATGCTTATCGCTCTCACTCAAATTTCCCCTAAAGCTAAACCATTTCGGTTGTTTGACTCGTGGCTAAAGGAACAAGAGTATCTAACTTTGGCCAGGAAAGGGTTGGCCAAATCAGTCTATGGGAATGGGCTTTTTTGTCTTCAAGAGAAACTTAAGGAGGTTAAACCCTTACTAAAAATATAAAAAAATATTATATTTAGAGAGAATGGGGATGTAGCACAGATGGTAAAACGCTTCCTTAGCATGCGAGAAGTCTCGGGATCGACCCCCTATGTCTCCAAATTATTTCTTTTAACCTGCAGGTTAAGTTCGAGCCCGGGCTCGCGAGCTTCGAGCTAGAGCTAGAGCCTGGCAATTTTTAAAACAAACCGAGTCCGAGCTCGGCCAAACCAGACTCGGCGAGCTCGAGCCTGGATAACTCCTTAACGAGCCGAGCCCGAGCCTGGCTCTATAAGCAAAAGCTCGGCTCGGTTCAACTCGTTTGACACCCTAGCTAGAATTGAGGAACATTGTGATGGCATGTGTCAGACAGTTCTTCACTGGTAACTCTCTACTGAAATCTACCAATCACATCTTTATTACTCCAATCCCTAAGAAACCCACAACAACTGAAGTACTGAACTATCTGACTTTAGGACGATAGCTTGCGTTAACTTGATATACAAGCCACTAACTAAGATCCTGGCAGAAAAATGTGGAGTCCAAACACCTCTATCCTATAGTTAATTGGGTCAAAGTTAGATATATAAAAGGTAGAGGACTAGGGGAAATTGAGATTAGACCCACTCTAGATTCCCATATGTGGGAAACTATCATAGCCAACAGAGATATTATAGATAAGTGCATCAACTGCATGAGCAGCTATAAGATTCTTTAAATAACTCCCTTCAAACATTCTGAAACACTAAAGCCCAAGGGTATCATACAAGATTTGAACTCTGGCATATGGTCCAAAATGCCCCCTAAATTCTCCATGTTTTTATGGAGAATTAAAGTTAAAAGCCTTAACACCCTCACCAGACTCCAGAGTTGGGGAATCCTTCCCCAACTACAAACAAGGTTTAAAAACCGGCTGACCGGTAAAATATTGCTAACCGGTGACCGGTTAGTTGGGACGGGCAAATGGGTTGATGGGGGTGGGTTTGACCCGTACCCGACCCGATTACCCGTCTCGTTTACCCGTCTCGTTTTTAAATGTTTCATTAAAAGGCTTTATTTAATAAAGCCCATTATGTTTCATTTAATAAAGCCTCATTTGAAGGCTTTATTTTAATAAGTTTAAATCTTACTCCTTATAAGTTTAAATCTTACTCCTTATAAGTTTAAATCTTACACTTTGAAACCCTAGCCGTTTCCTCCTTATGTCTTTACTTATGGAATTAATTACTTATTTGCATTACTATTTTGAATGATTATTTTGAATTACTATATTGTGGCAACATCTGCAAATAATCTTGTTGACCAATCATTAGAGGAAGAATACCAAAGTCTGAAATTTGAAGTTCCCTTGACATATCGTAAAATTCTTTTGGCAGAGTCTTCAAGTGTGTATCCGTAGGTTCACTTTGAAATTTCGTCACTTACCAAACCACAAAAGTAAGATCCAGCCGAGTTATAGTAAGGTATTGAAGCATGAGTCATGGCATGTCTAATCATTGCACGGCGAGATATTCTTGTTGACCCAGAACCTAACTATGGGTTAGGATCAAGTGACCTGCCTAGGTCCTGCTTAACTTGAGTAGGCTCAAACCATTTCTACACGGTTTAACCTAAAAATCTAAAACCATGAAATACCTTCGATTCCAGCAAAAGAAAGACTGAAAAGGATATGAAAAGACATGCTGATCACCTTTGATATCAGAAAACAGAAAGGTAAACACTATCTCCCTGGTGTAACAATGACTGAAAAATAGTAGTTAAAACTTGCAATTAGCCAGGATGTGGGCCAGCTGTAGGTCTACTCCTCTCTTAACAACTGCCAGTGATCTTTCTTTCTTTTTCGGCCATCTTTCTTGCTGGAAAACCTCTGCTACTTCTTGCTGCTTTCTCGTCGGAGCTTCTCCTATTCCTCTCGCTGGTTGGCAAGTATATTCGCTGCCATAAATGATTTCGGCCTGTTTTGAGTCATTTTTCGACGAACATCGTATTTTTTTTTAAATTAAAACATAAAGCTTTAGAATAATAATGGCCTAAGTTATATCTTTTTAACCTATTTCTTCTATATTTAATTTTTTTTAATTTATTTTACATAAATTTTAATTATTTTCATATATTTACGAAAATGCTACCGGTGCTTTTTTGCTCTTTGAACTGAGTATGCATATTTTGGAAATTAATAAAAAATGTTTACCTTTCATAAAAAAGAAAGAATATTACTGGTAAAAGTGGACTTGATTCAAATTTGAGATGCGCACCTGAAGTATAATTTACATGTATTACAGTTCATACATTGTGTCATCTGGGCAAAAGAACTTTTGTTTGCTAAGTTGTTTGGAGATAAAAATGGATCGAATGATCTGAATATGCATTCCAAAGAAGGTTGTTCATCAAATGACAAAGAAGATATTTTTGATAAAGGCCGAGAGGAGAGCTATGATGAGTACAGCCAAAGAATATATGATCATGTTTTTGGGTACAATATTGAAGCTGCTTTGCCTAACAAAGAAACTTGGAAAAGTAGAATGAAACCAACCCCAATTTTTCTTCGAGATGTACTACCTCAAATAGCAACTTATCGAAATAGAAGTTCAGATAACATGGTATTTTGCAATGGAACTAATGTATCTTCACAGCTATCTCTGAGCTTAACGAAAGCATGGAACTTGGCTGAAAGTACCAAAGTTTTTCTTAAGGCTATGAAATTATTTTTTGTGGAGCGAAGAAGGGTTATTTTCATCTATCTTTAAAAAAAATATATACTTAACTTTTGTAACATAACTTAATTTTGGTCTTTTTCGTACACAGGAAATTGGGAATCTTACTTTTGATAAGGACGATCAATTATCGGTAGAATTTGTTACTGCTGCAGCAAATATCAGGGCTGCTTCTTTTGGTATCCTGCTTCATAGTCTTTTTGAAACTAAGGGAATTGCTGGCAATATTGTGCATGCTGTTGCAACAACAAATGCCATTATTTCTGGGTTGATAGTCATTGAAGCAATCAAGATTCTTCAAGGAAATTACAGACACAATAGGTAATTTGTGATTCTCCAAAACAGTTTTACATCTCAAATTTGTAGTTCCAGTATATTTATATTTTGTACAAATTTGCTACATACTTTTTTTTTAAATCCTCTATTTTTTTCTCATGATCAACCTTTTTTTGTCTTGCAGAATGACATATTGCGTTGAACATCCATGTAGAAATATGCTTTTGATGCCAGTTCAACCTTTTGAACCTAATGGATCCTGTTATGTTTGTTCCGAGGTAAAGGAAATATATATACTATATATACGTGTTGCATTCTCAATGAGATTGTTTTATTGTGTGCAGACACCTTTGCTTCTTGAGATCAATACTTGTTCCTTAAAGCTTAAAGATTTTGTTGAAAAAATCATCAATAAAAAACTAGGTATCATCTCTCCAATAATAATGCATGGCTCAACATTAATTTTTGAGGTTGGCGATGACCTTGAGGAAGATATTGCTGCTAATTATTCATTAAACCTTGAGAAGGTAAAATTAGTAAACTGAATAATTATTTCCACTAACAGGTATGGTTTGGCAGTTCGATCAAACATATATTAATTCAATTATACTTTGTAGGTTTTAGTTGAACTTCCTGCTCCTGTAACAAATGGAACCGTACTAAGAGTGGAGGATTTTCACCAGGAGCTATCATGCAATATAATCATCAAGCACAGGTGATATTAATTGAATTGAGAATTTGAGATTATTAATAATCATCACGATTCAGTTTATAAATTTGTGATATTCATTTTTCATTTGTGGGTATTTCTAAAATGAAACTGCCACGAATGTTTTAAAATTTATTCTAATTTATATTATATGACTCTGGTAGCCTGTTTCAATTAAATTGATATTTTTCCATGCAGAGGAGAAGAAGAAGAAATTGATGATGAGGAGAAGAAATTGGCTAGAACAGTTATTCCTGAGCAGGCAACAGAGCAGAATTTTAGAGTTGAAAACAATAGAAGCAAGAAGAAATTAAATTCTTCACATAAAACTAGAAACCCAAGAGGAGGTCGAAATTCTCAAAATCATATGATGGAAACAAAAGTAAACCAGTGGAAATATTTGAATATAACGAAGCTGACTTTATTATAGGAAAGGTAACTTTACTCAAATAAAATTAATTTGAATGATGGAGACAGTGGTATTTACTAATTAAGAGAAATCAGACAGTATGGATATGTTTTGTCACCAGAGAATCGTACCCTTCACAACCCAAGTTCACAATTAGGCTGTGGAATGGTAAACACCGTAAACTCAAGAAGAGATGTTTTTTTGTTGGTTTTTGAGAATTAAAAACTTCTAATATATATGTAAAGAGACAGTTTGGAAAATTGTCTGTGATGGATGGTTATATGATTTAGTGTTTTTATCGGTACAGTTATTGAATCGTATTTCGCTTATCTTGTTTAAAAATTTAATTAGAATCAAGCTAAGATCCTGAGCCTCAGGTTTTTTTTTGAAGGAGGTTTATTTATTTCCAAGCTTGAATATAAAAATTAAAATTAAAAGAAACAAAATAATAAATAAATGCTTCTAAATTCTAATCTTCTATATTCAGATTTTTTGTGTGTCATCCTTAGATTTAATTTAGTATTTCTGTTTTTTGGTAAAATATGATCTAGTCAATCTTCATCAAGGTAACATTACTGTTATGAATATTTTGATAGATTTAAGGTTGTATGGGATCAAATTGATGATAGTTTTGCATGCAAATTTGTACTGATTGCATGTTTATATATCAAAAGAAGCATAAAGAAGGCATGTGATACAATCCTCAAGAATCGATCGAGTTAGGAAGTACTTCACCTGATGATGAAGATTGTCTCAGGTCCGGCGATCAACGGATCATGGATACCTTTTTGATATCGTTTATCAGATTGTATATAGGAGTTGAGAGAGTTAAAAATGAACCTGGATTTCCCTTGGATGAGTGAGAATAAATAAATTTTCCTCTTCAAACGATCTAGAAAGTGCATCAGCTACCACATTTGATTTCCCTGATTTGTAAACAATCTGAAAATCAAATCCCAACAATTTACATAGGAATACCTGCTGTTCCGGGGTCTGTATGACCTGTAGTGTTA